GGGGGGGGGGGGGGGGGGGGGGGGGGGGGGGGGGGGGGGGGGGGGGGGGGGGGGGGGGGGGGGGGGGGGGGGGGGGGGGGGGGGGGGGGGGGGGGGGGGGGGTGGAGAGGAAGAAAGCGTGATGAAAATGGAAGAAGAAACGTGAAAAAGAGGAGAAGAAGGGAAGTTGTGCGGTCAATTAGCAATACTGAATGATTCTGTGTATGACGCTTCTGAACAAAGCCATGGCCGCGCGCGCCGAACTTAACTGTCATCTGTCGGTGAAGATGGGTCGGGTTAGCTCCGGACTAAACTGACAAAGGGCACACCTCCTTTCCCTCCCACACGTTTAACTTTCACAACCGTTCATGTTAGGTTAACTAAGCTCGCTATTCTTGAAAAACCTAAAGAGCTACGGAATGAAAGGGGCTATTCGACCAAGGAGCTTGCCGACGGACCATTGTCGTCCCATTCTTGAGTGAGTTGAAACTCAGTTGTCTTATCCACTGAACTAGCTAGAAGCTATTGCTTTGGGTCAAAGCACTAAAAGAAAAGAACCAGGAAACACGGCTATAGGAACCAATAGTTTCATTTTAATTCTTCTACTTATCTACAAATATTCTAACCAAAGAGATGTTTGAGCCATCTAATGAACTAAGGAATCCAATTACTTTGATCGAATTGAGCCAAAGAGATATTTTGAGTTGAAAATTTCATGTATAGCATGGTATCCTAACCATCTCTGTACTGATTTAATTTAAATCATTAAGTTATTCGAATGTTTATACGTCTCACCGAACTTGAAACCAAACTGAAAGCATGTTTGAGAGTAATTTTGAAACGGTTAAGAATCACTTTTATCATATTCGAAATTATTCAAAAGCATATTTTTAATCTTTCAAAATTGATTTTGATCAGAAGGATTACACGCTGTGTATCAAGTACCATCCATTGATGGTCATTTTGAGGAGTAGCTACCGAAAGTGATTTGTGGTAAAAATTACATGTTATGCAGATCAGATCCAACTACAGATGATCACGTTTAGGTGAAAAAAATAATTTTTGGTTAGAAGATTTTTCACATTTTCAAGTAATTAATCACTAAGATCTTTCATTGTAATCTGTTTTGAGTAATTTTTACCGCTAAGGTCCTTAAATTTTTGTTCGCATATCTAACTCTAATACAAAAATGACTGAGTACTTTTCACCGTAATTTTCAATTGAATTGGTTTAATTTGATTTGCTGTAAAAAAAACTCGTAACTTAGACATTTGAACAAAACCCTACCCAAAGCAATAACATCTTCTCACTTACATTAACCATTTCCAAGCATTACAGGAAAATAAGTGTTAGTACAAGTCTATCGCTAGTAAATATTGTTGCTTTGGCCCGCTGCATATCATCGTCAACCTCATGATTTTAAAACTCGTATGTTAGGGAGAGGTTTCATTTCCACACCCTTATAAGGAATGTTTCGTTTCTCTGTCCAACCGATGTGGGATCTCACAATTCATCTCCCTTGGAGGCTCAACGTCCTCGCTGGCACACCGCCCGATGTCTAGCTCTAATATCAATGGTAACATCTTAAGCCCATCGCTAGCAAATATTGTTCGCTTGGGCCTGTTACGTATCACTGTCAATCTCACAGTTTTAAAAAACATTTGTTAGGAAGAGGTTTTCACACTTTTATAAAAAATGTTTCGTTTCCCTCTCCAACCCAGGTAGGATCTCACAATCCACCTCCCCCCTCCCCCCTTGGGGGCTCAACGTCCTCGAACAAACAACCCAGTGTTTGGCTCTGATACCATTTGTAACAACTCAAACCCACCGCTAGCAGATATTGTTTACTTTGGTCCGTTACGTATCACCGTCAGCCTTACAATTTTAGAACATATATGTTGGGGAGAGGTTTCCACAACGTTATAAGAAATGCTTCGTTCCCCTCTCCAACCGACGTAGGATCTCACACAAAATGCCATATTTCGTTACGTGAGATTGAACTTATCATTAGTAAGATAGAAGATGATGATCCAACCTGATAGTCGTTCCAACACAACACAATAATTGCTTTTGTTCAAGCAATGCCTCCCCCCACCCCCACCTAATATGGGTCTCAAGATGAGTACCCCAAGGGTACAAATTCATCAACTCATCCTCAGACTTTCAAGGCAAAGACATGAGAATCAAGCACCTAAAAAGAACAAACATCTTCCCTCAGCATTTCATACATCTGAATCTGAGAACCCAAACATATCAAAGTTCAAGTAGTCAGTCAATGTTGTTCAACTAGAGAACATGAGAGCAAACCCAACCAGAGTGAAATTGTAACAACGAACGAACCCCACCACTAGCAGATATTATTCTCCTTGGGCTTTCCCTTTCAGGGATTCCCTCAAGGTTATTAAAATGTGTCTCCAAGGGAGACGTTTCCACACCTTTGTAAAGAATGTTTCGTCCTCCTTTCCAACCGATATAGGATCTCACAATCCACCCCCTTTGGGCCCAACGTCCTTGTTGGCACTCGTTCCCTTCTCCAATCGATGTAAGACCCCCCAAATCCATCCCTCTTCGAGGCCCAGCATCCTTGCTGGCACACTGCCTGGTGTCTACCCTCGCAGGGTTCAGCTTCCTTGCTGACACATCACCTTCAAACCTGGTTCCAATACTATTTGTAATAGCCCAAACCCACCGCTAGTAAATTTCGGGCTTCCCCTCAAAGTTTTTAAAACGTGTCTGCTAGGGAGAAGTTTCCATACCCTTATAAAGCATGTTTCATTCTCCTCCCCAACCGACGTGGGATCTCACAATCCACCCCCTTCAGGGCCCAACATCCTCGTTGGCATTCGAAAATCATCTTTCAATTCTCAAATATCACCCTTTTTCCAGTACACATGCCCTGGTTCTAGTATCACATTCAAGTGAAGGGATATCCCAAAAGGCATCAAATTCAGAACAAAACAATGATATCCCAGCAGCAAGCATACAGTTCAGACAACAATAAAGTGCGGATGCAAAATTGCACTTAGATTCAATCAAGTATGAAGCAGCATATTGGGTACATTACTTCAAGGAGGAATTGCAGCACTGTAACCAGTCAGGTCAAGATATCCCACCTAGCTACTCTAAAGTACCTAACTCGTAAAGGGTTCCGGCAGGGGAGGAGGGGGTGAGATTATACAAAGAAAACTCCATTGAAACTGAGAGGCAGATAAGAAACAAAATGCACAAAATCTTTGATTGCAAGAACCAAAACAAGAGTTGAAGAACAAAGACGAAGGGATAAAGGCAACCAAACCAAATAAAGAGATTAAGCCTGGGTACCCGTCAATGCTTTCATCTGTATATGACTGTTTTCCCCACCAACAGCAGCCGCCGGTAAAGCTTCGTAAGACCCACCACGCCGCACGCCAGCAGCCCTGGCAATGACAGCATAAATGACAATCACAATAAGCAGAACAAACATAACGTGGATCAGAAAGGCCAGGTCCAAAATGGCAACGGCCCTGAGCCGGGATTCCTCCAAATCGCACTTGGTGGATCCCTCCACGCCATTCACCACATCCAGCAACCTGTGACATCCTTCAGGGATGAAGGCTTCGACATAAAGCGAAAGCCCCGTCTGAAGCACCCAAAGGCCTTGGAGTAAGAAGGTAACCCCCAAACCCAAATCGGCCACGAAGAGCCTAGGCAAGCAAGCAAGGACCAGGCAGAGGAAGGAGGCTAGGGCGGAGATTTTACCGGAGACGGAATCGCATTTGGCTTGAAGATCAGAGGTCTGAACAGAGGCAGCTGAGTAAGAGACGGAGAATTGCAAGAAGAATAGGGCGGAAGCTAGGGCAAAGAAGAGATCGGAAGGGAGGGGAAGAAGAGAGGTGGAGTCGGCGAGGAGAAGGGCGAGGGTAAGGATGAGGAAGAGGAAGATGACGGCGGCGAATTGAAGGGAAATGAAATGGTGGACGGGGGTGTTGCCCTTGAGGAGAGGATCAGGGTCGGCGGCGACGATGACCTGATGGACGAAAGCAAGAACGAGGCATGGGATTGCGAGATAGAGTTGCAGGTAGCGGAGACCGTAGAGATGGTGTTGCTGGTGATGGGGGAGAAGTAGCTGATGCGCGGAGGAAGGCGGGAAGGGATGGTAGGGCCTGGCGGCGTAGGCCTGCGGGGATTTGAGGAAATTGAGGGTAACGGAGACGATGTGGTAGAGGCCAAGCGAGAGCAGCGCCGACGACGAGAAAACATGGAAGATCATGGCAGCCATTGTTCTCTCTCTCTCTCTCAGAATGCAGAAAGACAAGGCAGTTTCAGATTTAGAGGCCGATTCAGATCCGAAAGCTTACAAACATGGTGTAGAATGATCGGCGGTGGGTTGTTTCAAGCGTCGCCGCCGTGAGGACAGAGGCGGAATCTGCAGAAACTGTTCGAGGAAGACGCAGAAATGGTGGTAAGCGAGGCGGGGAGAGACAGCAAGGGAGAGAGAGAGAGAGTTTGTCAGTCAGCATAAGAGATGCAATTTTTTGAATTTACCCCTAAACTTATTGGTAATATCAATTTAGTCCTTAAATTTTTTTATTTTGTCAAATTAGACCATAACCTAATTGCAATTTTTACTCCTCATTTAATTTCCGTTAATTTATTCATTGATCTTTTTAAATAATAATAATAAATATTTATAAACTCCTTAATTTCAATAAATAAAATTTTACATAAAATAAAAGTTGACAAAAAAAAATAAATAATAATAATAATCTCTAAAGTTCACAAAAAAAAAGCTCCAATGTAAATTTTTTAAAAAATTTTATTTTGTAACCATGTTTTATAATTTATTAAATGTTATTAAATGTATATGAGAAAATCATTTTTATGATTTTTTTTCTAAATTTTTACTATTAATTTTGAATTTTGAAATTTAATTTCTATTTGGTTGTTAGCTTTCAAAATATTAGGATTGGGTTGGGTTATATTTTTTCTCCATTTAAGTTTGTTTAAATTTTTGGAAAATGAAAAATTCAGTTTAATTTGTTATTTATTTATTTATTTATTTTTTGTTAAATCAACTATAGTATTTCAACTCAATAATAGTATTTTTCAAAAGATTAATATTTAATATTTATGATCGATGTTAGTGATATATTACAAGTTGTAAATATTTTAAAAAAATAATAATAATCCGACAACTCAATTGTGATGTCCCACATTGATTGGGAGAAGAACAAACCACTATTTATTTCATAAGGGCGTGGAAACCTTCGAGCAGCAGACGTGTTTTAAAGCCTTGAGGGGAAGTCCGAACAGGAAAGTCCAAAAGAACAATATCTGCTAGTGGTGGATCTGTGGCCCAAAATGGTGAATTTGGGGGTGGTCTCGCATCGATTGGACGAAGGAAAGAATATCAGCGAACACGCTGGACTTGAAAAAGGGCTAGATTGTGATGTCCCACGTTAGTTAGAGAGGAGAACAAACCATTATTTATAAGGGTGTGGAAACCTTAAAGCCTTGAGGGGAAGTCCGAAAGGGAAAAGGAAGCCCGAAGGAGCGGTCCCACATCGATTGGAGGAAGGAAAGAGTGTCAGCGATGACGTTTGAGTCCGAAAAGAGAGTAGATTGTGATGTCGCAAGTTGGTTGGGAAGGAGAACAAACTACCATTGTTAAGTAACGCAATTAAGTTGGTTTGGTTGTCAACTATGGTTAGTTGTTCGGATCAGTCCGTATCTATAATTATTATGAATAAGGATCATTTTCTGCCATTAAAACAAAAGGTCACATTATATAAGCCTCTAAAATGGAGAGGGGCATTAATGGATACAAAAACCCTAAAAGCGAAGAACTCCAGACATGAGAAGCGATGCGGTACTCGTAAGCGAAATCAGTTGCAGAGTGGAAGAGATGGAGAGCGAGCCTGCAATTTCAAATCAGGAATGGAATCAGATTTGAATTCAAGAAAAGAAAATTTTGAAACAGAGGAACGCCGGATCTGAAGCAAGAAAGAAGAGGAAATTACGGGCGTTATTGGCGGCGGCGAGGCAAGAGAGCGGATTAACATGTTCGCCGCATCGGCCGGGCAGGAGTTGAGCCTGGCTGACATCGATGCCGGCTTGCTCTGCTCGATCGCTTCCGTCTCTGCTGATTAAAGCGCAGAGGCAATCGGGATTGGAGTCGATCACCGATTTCAGAGGATTGCAGCAGCTCGACGGCGGATCTCGAGTTCCGTTCAGGTAATTTAGGCATGGAATTAACCTATTCATGCAGGAAGTGTCTTGAGCACGGCCTTGAAACGCCATGGCGGAAGCCAGTACGAGTAGCATTGCCGTCAAGGTTCCTGTCCAAGGCTTCATTTCCATTGATTTCTTGTCTTAACTAATTTGAACAAAGCTCTGTGGCAATGAATTCAGAGCTGCAGGGGCTGTAAGATATATATATAAATCAGGAAGTTGAAGAAAGGCATGAGGCGGAGAGATGGGGGTGGGTGATCCACCGGTGGCTTCTGAATCATGAGGGATTGTCTTTGACTTCTGGGATTGCTGCCGAAGCCGACTCGTGGTTGGTACAAAATGGGTGTTAGATTATATTGGTGAAGCTACCTAATGGCTGTTATCTTCTACAACATTTGAATTTTTAAATCTTCCCCTTTTCAAACCTTCGAACTTTATCATCCAAAATTCATTCAAAATTTAGGTTAAATTATGAAGATAGTTCCTAACTTTGAATTTGTGTTGTCCATAAAGTTTAGAGTTTAGGGTTTAATAATAAATTTTTAAAGTTTTTATTTTATGTCCGATAAATTTCTAACTTTTTAAATCTATGTCCTGTCAACTTAAAAGAACACATTTTGAAACATAAAGATAAGACAAACCCTCCTTAAATTACTATTTAGCACTACATGCCTAAATACACTCATGTTAGTCTAGCCTATAATTTCCATAATTATTTATTGAGAGATAATAAAAGCTTATAAACATATAACAATAAATAGTGTTAAGAATTTAATCGAGTGGTATACTGTAGAATAAGATTAGTTTTAGTTTTCTTTGGTTGAGTGGGATGAAGTGTAGCAATTCAAGTCCACCGCTAATAAGTATTGTCCGTTTTGACTTGTTACATATCACCGTCAGCCTCACAGTTTTAAAATGCGTATGTTAGGGAGAGAGTTTCATACTTATAAAGAATGTTTCGTTCTCCTCTCCACCGACGTGGGATCTCACAAATTCATCCCCTTTAGACCTAGTGTCCTCGCTGGCAAGAGTTTGATACTTATAAAGAATGCTTCGTTCTCCTCTCCACTGATGTAGGATCTCACAAATCCATCTCCTTTAGACCTAGTGTCCTCGCTATCTCACAAATCCATCCCCTTTAGACCTAGTGTTCTCACTGGCACACCTTTCGGTGTCTAGCTCTGATACCATTTATAACACCCTCAAGCCCACCACTAGCTGATATTGTCCGTTTTAGTCCATTACGTATCATCGTCAGCCTCCCAATTTTAAAACATATCTACTAAGGAGAGGTTTTTACACCCTTATAAAAAAAAAATACTTCATTTCCCTTTCCAATCGACAAAGAATCTCATGTAAAGACTCAGTCATTTATTCTACTAGTTCAAGTATAAGTGAGATGTTCGAACATGAAAGTAGTTTACAGCCAACAAAACACTTTCTAAAGTAAATATCTAAAGTAAATAAAGGCATTGCTGAAACGTTTATTCAACTGTGAATGGTTTTGGTTTATATTTTCACCTACAAATCGATCAAAGATGATGTAAAAAGGGTGTGCAAATCCAAACCTTTCCTGTTTGCAAGTGAGAGCACCCACCCAGATGTTGGGTTTAAGCCTTTTCCTATTTGTAATACAACTCATAATGTCTCAGTGAAAGATCCCTCCTTCCCTATAACATCATATATCCACTCTTTTCAATTGGAAAAGGGATGTCCAAAGCCTAATCAACTTATCACATAAAGCTAATATTGAGTCCAATCTACAGCCAATCTCAGATACTACCACAGATCTGAATCATCATGCTGCTGGGTCTTCCCTCACCCTCTGCGAGCCTGCAGATGCCATCACCGGGGAGTCTAACCAACGACGTCTACTCGAAACAATCAGAATACATTGTTCTTCAAAGTACTAAACATAATATATCATCCCCACTTCGATCAGACTGATGTGGGGGATATTGAGTGCAACAGACGGTCCTCGGCAGTTCTTTCGAAGGAACGAGTATCCGATATCTATCACGAGCTTTTTCAAATAAGATGAAGATCTTCTGGCCTTCACATATGAGTGTCCCATTATATATGCTACACCGGCGTCTTTGGCTTGGATCAAGTCCATCAACTCTTCTCTAACTCTGGGGTCCATTGAAGGGCTGGGAGATAATTGAAACCTCACATGGCGCCTTCTTAGTATTGGATTCTCATCCTCATAGACAGATCGTAAGCTTTGGAGCGTGGCAGATTTGCTACTATAGATGGAGTTGCTTGTACCAACTTCTTCATGACCCGATACTATTAAGCTCAAGCTTGATTGTATACTCCGAGTGCTTATTACTGCCATCCTCCCATCAACTGTACTACTTTCAGAGCTTGAGAATTGTGGCTCCTCTGCTTCCATTTGAATAAATTCCGCAATGTTTAGCATCAGTTGATTCTCAAAGTTTCCATCATCCTTCTGAATGTCCTTGTAGCCATACCTCACTATGCATCGGTACATGCGATACGGCCTAGGACAGACTCTCCCGATGAGAAAACGTTCTTCGGGCGAGACATATGGAACGGGAACAGATTTTACACACACAAAGACTAAAACTTTGTGAAACGCAGGGAGATTTGTCACAAAGTGAGAAAATATTGCGGGAACTCCTGTTGCCAATTCTGAGTATATGAGACCAATCCCAGGGACACGAACTATACCCAGGCTAGGGCCTAGTCCAAGCAACCACTTCAGTGAAACTTTATTGTGTAGATCAAAGTAGTACTTCTTGCGAGTGCCATAATGCCAGACAAACATAACAATCATAAAAATGGCTGACAGCACAAGCGGGACCCACCCTCCTTCAGGCACTTTTATGATTGCTGCAGATAAGTATGCTGCCTCAACAGACCAGAAGAAGATGAGAAAAGGTGCGGCCAGGAGGATACTTTTTTGCCAAACGAATATAATGACAAGTGCCATAAGAAATGTAGTCGTGAACATAACTGCCATACAGGCAAGTCCTGGACCATGAACAAAAAACAAAGTTATATACAGGATAGGAGTAAACATTGCAAGCAGGAAGAAACTAAAATACCTCTCATGCATAAAAGAAACCAAGGTAAGTTTTTAGAGACGAAAACTAAAAGAGCTCAATTTGAATCAGACTTGACATTGTTTCAGAAACGCAAGTTTATAGTTACTAATTGCATCCCCCTAATAAAACGGACAAAACAAGTTTATGGTTATCAACTTTTATTTTTCCTCCACTCCATAAGTTCTATAAGCACTCTTGAGAACTCGTAGTTCGTCACCCTCTCCATCAAATGTTATAATCAAAACAACTTTCGAAGTCCCTTATTCGAAAGAGAATGAGGACTTTGTTTGCACCAAAGGAGAGCAAAGATAAAGATGAAGAGTGAAGTTCCTACAGTCTATATTGCAAAGTGGTGAAGAGAATAATGCAGTAGATGATAAACCCACGTTTCATTTAACCTATGAAAGAAGATGATAGGCAGTGGAAAAGAAATTAAACACATCTACACATGCAGGAAATGACCGAGTTTCTTGAGAATCTGAGTCCGTTGGATGAAGACTTGAGCTACATGAACTGTTTATCGACTTAAGATTACAAGTTAGTTCAAGAAAGATGGCAGCCAGCTACTGGTTTGCCAATATCCAGGGAATATATGAAGGGAGAGATGGATGAGAAGTCAGTAAGTACAGTGGGTGCAGCTCTATATGAATTTTCATTTCCATTATCACTTTCAAGTTCAGAATTCTCTCACTTTTCAATGCAAGAGACCTTAGTGAAGTGCATATTAATAGCCATGCCCAATGGAGGTTGAATGCCGGATTTCGTTTAATGAATTTTGAAAACATTATCACTGAACACTTCAATTGGATACGACTAGAGTGGCTAGAACAAGACCAATCCACAAGAAGTGTAAGCATTTTAAGTACAAAAACATAGCAAAGGAGTACAAGGTTTACAAGAATGAAATGACCTTTATGTAGTTTAAAAAACTCATCGCAGTGGCAAAGAATGTGCAATTTAGAGACTTGTAATGTGTTAGGAACATATTTTTAATACCCCAAAAGTGTTTTCAATTAATTAATTTTTTTACAGAATTTACATGGCGTTGGCTACACATTTCGAAAAGTGTACTTAAAAGCAATTCTAAACACAGTTTATAAGTGATCCTATTATTTTCAATCTACAAGTGGAGTACAAGGTCAAGAGAATGCGAAAAACTCATCTCAGGTGGCAAATAAATGTGCAATTTAGAGACTAGTAATGTGTTAGAAATAGACTTTCAATATCTCAAAAGTGTTTTTAACCAAATAAAACATTTTACAGAGCTACATGATGTTTGGTTACATTTCAAAAGTGTTGTGCTTAAAAATACTACTCTCAATAGCAATCCGTAACAGACTCAACAAATGATCCTATAACTTTCTTTGGAGGCACTTGGTAATTATAACCACTTATATGCACTGTGTTACTGTTACGTGACCCAAAATTGTTATTGAACCTCCACCAAAAACTAATGTGCTTCAGTGTATGTGCACGCATGCAGATGAAAGTGTGCTATGTGCATGAGAGAGAGTCTAAGCACTTACCATAAGCATTTCCAATCAGTCTCGTATCTTGAAACCCTATTGTAACGGAAAGAGTGAAGATCATTAATATCCAGTTTATTTCTGGGATGTAGACCTGCCCATATATGTGTTTAGAGGTGTGGACAACTTTCACTCTTGGAAAGCAACCAAGGGCATGGCATTGTTTGACAATAGAGAAAGTAGCAGTAATGACAGCCTGGCTCCCCACAATAGCCGCAAGGGTGGCAATAACAAAAACAGGCCAAAATACAGGTTCTGCAAGAGAGAATAACGGCAATGACAATGATTAAGATCAGACTACTTGAAATCCAAAGCACTGTTGAGAAAGCAAGATTGGTTAACTAACCAGGTATCGAGTCGTAAAAACTGTTTGGAAACAAATCAAGGTTCTTAGAAAGAAAGGCAGCTTGACCCATGTATTGTACTACCAAACAAGGGTAGATAACAAATGCAAATGCAAGCTGCAAGAGCAAAGACTCCGTATTAGTTGCTTAAAACATTCATTAGTTGTTGCTAAATGAGACCATTAGTCATTGGCTTAATCCACTGAGACAAGATCAAGTAATAGTCACTATAGTATTCCAAAAATCCTGCAAAGAGCTTCTTCAATATCATGGAAGATTCAATTATCTCTACCATATTTTTTATTCAATGAGTGGAATCGAAAAGGTGAATATGGAATATATAAGTTCCTCTCCGCTCATAATGGAATTTGGTTGCCCCACTCTTATGTCTGTCTATTCTGCTGCAAAATACTCAGATGGTCAGAAAGCTCACCCTTATCGACAAAGCAGTGAAATGACCAAGATCTGCAAACATCGCCTCAGTGCCTAAACAAACCACATAAATTCCCATTAATCACCTTGAAAGAAGGATAATACTTAATATTATGTTCCTATG